ACAGGAGAACTGCTTGAACCTGGGTGACAGAGGTTGCAGTGAGTTAAGATTGCACCACTGCACTCCAGCCTGGACGACAGAGCGAGACTCAGTCTCAAAAAAAAAAGTGGCGGGCGGGAGGAGAACATGAGCAGTCAGTTCACTGAAAGATAAATAGAATGGCCAATAAATGCACAAAAATATGTTTAACTGCATTCATAAATAAATAGGAATGAAAGTAACGATGATAGCAATTTTTTACGTAAGAGATGACCAATGATAAAAAAAATTAGGTAGGCCAGGTGCTGTGGCTCATGCCTGTAATCCCAGTACTTTGGGAGGTTGAAGCAGGTGAATCACTTGAGGCCAGGAGTTTGAAACCAGCCTGGGCAACATGGCAAAATACTGTCTCTACCAAAAATAATTAGCTGGGCTTAGTGGTGTGTATGCCTATAGTCCCAGCTACTTGGGAGGCTGAGGCGGGAGGATCTCTTGAACCTAGGAGATTGAGGCTGCAGTGAGCTGGGATCTAGGATCACATCACTATACTCCAGAGTGAGACCCTGTCTCAAAAAAAAAAAAAAAAAGAGAATTAGGTAATCTTTATTGTTGGTGAGATTATTAGAAGCAACCACTCTTGGAACGATCCAAGATGGCCGATCGCTAACATCCCGGGATTGCAGCTCTCAGGGGAGGCGCGGAGAACTAGAGGACGCCACACTTTCAGACAAAGTCTGGTCGCTCACGGAGCAGAAGATCCCCCAGTGGTGGAAACACACGGGTCGCCAGCGCGACTCTCGTGGTCGGTGCAGCGGTTCCGCCGGCACCTCGGCACGGCAGCGCTCGGAGCAGAGTAAACGGGACCTGTTCCCCTTCTGACCGAGGTTTGGAGCCCCGGGAAGGCAGAGTCGCCTACTACGGAAACAAGAAGGAAGCCCGACAGGAGAATCCTGGGCAGAAAAGCACCATCAGTTTTAACACCGCTGCTCTGGCCCTGGGAACTAACAACCTGGACGTCCACTCAAGAGACCTAATCTGAAAGTTGGTAATTTCAAAGACGACAGGAGGATAAATTTACAATGACGGGAAGAAACCAGCGTAAAAAAGCTGAGAATACTCAAAGTCAGAACGCCTCTCCCTCTAAAGATGATCACAGTTCCACATCAACAATGGAACAAGGCTTGATGGAGAACGAGCGCCTCCTGATGACAGAATCACTCTTCAAGGAATGGATAATAACAAACTTCGGTGAGTTAAAAGAACATGTTGTAGCCCAACGTAAAGAAACTAGGAACTTTGACAAAAGGCTTGATGAAATCCTATTGAGAATAGACAACTTAGAGAGGAGTATGAGTGAATTAATGGAACTGAAGAATACAATACAGGAACTCCGAGAAGTATGCACAGGTTTAAACACTCGAATTGTTCAAGCAGAAGAAGGGATATCAGAGGTCAAAGTCCAACTTAATGAAATAAAACGTGAAGAAAAGATTAGAGAAAAAAGGATAAAAAGGAATGAGCAAAGTCTCCAAGAAATGTGGGACTATGTGAAAAGACCAAATTTACGTTTGATAGGTGTACCTGAATGCAACGGAGAGAATGAATCCAAGCTGGAAAATACCCTTCAGGATATTATTCAGGAAAATTTTCCTAAACTAGCAAAGCAGGTCAAAATTCAACCCCAGGTAATACAGAGAACACCACAAAGATATTCCTCAAGAAGAGCAACCCCAAGGCACATAATCGTTAGATTCACCAGGGTTGAAACGAAGGAGAGGATACTAAGGGCAGCCAGAGAGAAAGGTCGGATAACCCACAAAGGCAAGCCTATCAGACTTACAGCAGATCTCTCAGCAGAAACTCTACAGGCCAGAAGAGAGTGGGGGCCAATATTCAACATCCTCAAAGAACAGAACCTTCAGCCCAGAATTTCATATCCAGCCAAACTAAGCTTCACAACTGAAGGAAAAATAAAATCTTTTATGAACAAGCAAGAACTCAGAGATTTTATTACCAACAGGCCTGCTTTACAAGAGCTTCTGAAAGAAGCATTACACACAGAAAGAAACAACCAGTATTAGCCTTTCTAAAAATACACCAAAAAGTAAAGAGCACCAACATAAAGAAGAATTTACACCAACACATGGATAAAACAGCCAGTCAACATCAAATGGCAGTAACCCTAAATTTAAATTGACTAAATTCCCAATCAAAAGACACAGCCAAAACCCAACGGCATGTTACATCCAGACCTGTTTCACATGCAAGGATACACAAAGACTCAAAACAAAGGGATGGAGAAAGATTTACCAACCAAATGGAGAGCAAAAATAAATAATAAATAAATAAAAGGCAGGAGTTGCAATTCTTGTATCGGATAAAATAGATTTTAAAAGCAACAAAGATATAGTGGTAAAAGGATCAATGCAACAACAAGAGCTAATGATCCTAACACCCAGATAGGAGACTTAGATTCAATGAGACAGAAAATTAATAAGGATATCAAGGACTCGAACTCAGATCCAGAACAAGTAAACTTAATAAATATTTATAGAGCTCTCCACTTCAAATACACAAAATATACATTCTTGTCAATACCACATCACACCTACCCATTAGTTTAAATGAAACATTGATTGGCCATTATTAATACCCAATTTTTTTCAAAATAAAGCAATATTTCCATTTACTCTCCCTCTTTCTCTTCCTCTTTCTTCCTCTCCTTTACTTTTTTTTTTTTTTCTTTTCTTCTCTCAAAAAAAAAGAAATCAACTTGTAAACCTCTAGATCCAGGTCGGCAATGTCTCTTTCATTGCCTGATTTCCTTTCTTCCCTTCCCTTCCTCCCTCCCTCCCTCCCAGCTTCCTCCCTTCCTTCCTTCCTTCCTTCATCCCTTCCTTCCTCCCTACCGTCCTTCTTCCCTTCCTTCCTGCCTTCCTCCCCCCCCAAAAAAAAAAAAAAAAGAAGCAACCACTCTTATCTATTAATAATTGGATTGTAATTTCATACAATATTTAGAGTTCAATTTGGCAATATCTGTGAAATTTTTTAATGGCACTTTTGCTCCAGGAATTTTACTTTTATGAATCTATCTGTGAATCCAGATATACGAAAGTAAATTCAGAAAGGGTGTAGGAGCATAGGAGAATGTTTGTTGTAATGTTCTTTGTAGTAGCAAAAACCTGGAAATGACCTGCATGTTCTCCATTCATTGGAGCCCAGTTAAATAAATTATGTGTATACATATATTGGAAGAACTATGTACTTATTTTAAAAAGAAGGTAAAGGAGCAATATGTAACCATTTAGAAGGATATTCTGATACAACGTTAAGTTCTAAAAGTTTCAATGTATATAATGTTATTTGTGTGTTTATTATTTTTATATTATTTAATTTATTTATTTGAGATGAAGTTTTGCTCTTGTTGCCTAGACTGGAGTGCAATGGCAAGATCTTGGCTCACTGCAGCCTCCGCCTCCTGGGTTCAAGCAATTCTCCTGCCTCAGACTCCCGAGTAGCTGGGATTATAGGCACCCACCACCATGCCCAGCTAATTTTTTGTATTTTTAGTAGAGGTTTTGCCATGTTGGCCAGGCTGGTCTCGAACTCCTGATCTCAGGTATCTGCCTGCCAAAGTGCTGGGATTGCAGGTGTGAGCCACCATGCCTGGCCTGCTTGTGTGTTTAAAAAATTATATAGCCGCCACCCCTCATGCTCCATCTTTGTCCATGCCATTAAAAAATTTCATAGATATTGCAAAATATGTGTACATGATGTTGCGCAAAACAAAATGTCTACTCACCAAACAATTCATATTGCCTTTCTAGGGCTCCTCCTGGAGAGGAGACGTGAACTTGTACTTTTTTCCAGAGCATTCTATGCTATTTGGAGTTTTCACAATGAAAATATTTTATATTGAAAGCTAATTTAAATGAAGGATAAATGGACAAGATGCAGCTCACCGAGGTAAACGAAGTAGGGGGCAATGATGCTGCCCACTCTGGAGGCCATGGATGTGACCCCCACCGCCATGTTCCTGACCAGGGTTGGGTAGAGCTCAGCAGTAAAGACATACAGCATGGAGAAAGCAGAGGTGATCCCAAATTTTCCCAGCATGACCAGACCAATAGATAAGAAGTAATAATCTGGAAAAGAGACCTGGTGTAAACAAGGGTGCTTTTAGAAGTGATACTTTCTTATCTCAGTTGTTTTTATTGTCCTTTTTGCTTCAGTGGGAGTGCTTTTATTAACATAAATGTATTCCCAAATAGCCTTTTCTCTTCAAATGTCCTAACACTTGGGCATGGACAAAGATGGAGTGTGATGGGTGGCTTTGTACTTTGTTCTACTCTTATTCTAGGTCATTAGTGCATTCAGTGACCTTTGTCCACTTGTCTTTTGTTTGTTACAACAGTTTCATGGTAAGCTATTAACATGTTAATATAGTTAAGTTTTATCTTCAAAGAAGAGGGCCAATCCTTTCTATCCTGTTATTATCTATCTTATTATTAAGAAATGTGTATTTCTATCACTATCAATAATTTATTGACATTTTAATATGAGAACGTCAGACACAAGGGAAATAGGGAAGCTCATATCCTTTTGTGTGCTATTTAACTACTTAAAGATTCAGACCAGAAAACCACTGAATGTATCCTGGAACCAACATGTTCTATTCACTGTAATACTTGAATATACACCCAAGGAAAAGGTTTGACAGTAGCCAGAAATTAGGAATCATGACTATGACTCAAAGGGAGATTTTAGGTGAGTCTTTCTGTGAAGGGGAGGACTGGGAGAGTTACTCTTCCTCTTTGGTGCTTTCTGCTTCTCCAAGGCTGTCTCTTCTGTTTGTTGAACACAGGAAACAATATACATAGTGAGCAATCACCTGTCTGATTGACTTATGAATAGCTTATGATGTAAAGGCTGAATAAGGGATCAGTGACTCAGAAGCAGCCTAGTCAATATGTGGGTCTTTTCTGGTAAGCTGTTCATCTTGGTTAACTTCTTACCTGCAGGTACCAGTTGAATGAAGAGAAGCACACCTCCTCCCCAGAACAGTACTGCAGCTATGATATAACGCCTGGGCAGGGTTCGAAGTAGCAGCCAGGCTATAATGTAAGCTGGAACTTCAATCAAGGCAGAGAGGAAACAGTTCAGGTAGGCATCTCCATGTAAATTAGGAGCATCCAGAGACAGAGCAAAGTAACCCACTGAGGTCAGCATCCTGAGAAAAAAAGGTAAAAATGACAATGGGATGGTGTGAATCTCTCTAAGGTTTTATGATGGTCAAGAAATTGTCTATATCTTGCTGTCCTATAAGTAGCCACTACCCTCACTGGCTACTTAAATTTAAATAAAGTAAAATTAAATAAAATTACAAATTCATTTCCTTAGTTATACTAGCCACACTTCAAGTTCTTAATAGTCATGTGTAGCTAGTGGTTGCTCCATTGAACAACATAGATATAAAACATTTCTATCACTGCAGAAAGTTTTACTGGACAATGCTAGTCTAGATATATACCAAATTCAACAATACCTTTTCTCAGTTAGTTGATTTCAAGTTTTCCTATTTCCTGAATAGTTTGTACCTCCTCAATCTCTTAGAGCTATTATTTGAAGAAAAACTATTAGTCACATCAGTGAACATAAAATACAGATTTCATTCTTTAACAAAAAAGAAGATATAAGGATTATACTGTGGGATCCACTTAGAGTAAATTCTGATTCTCTTTAGGCAAAAGAGGAATGTCCCTTAATGCTTCCAAGTATCAGACTGCAGCCTGTGCATCCTGTCATTATAGTTAACTTTCATGTACAAGCTTCTCCGTGGGCTGGGCGTGGTGGCTCACACCTGAAATCCCAGCACTTTGGGAGACTGAGGCAGACAAATCACCTGAGGTCAAGAGTTTGAGACAAGCCTGGTCAACATGGTGAAACCCCGTCTCTACTAAAAAATACAAAAATTAGTTAGGCATGGTGGTATGCACCTATAATCCCAGCTACTTGGGAGGCTGAGTCAGAATTGCTTGAACTCAGGAAGCAGAGGTTGCAGTGAGCCAAGATCGCACCATTGTACTCCAGCCTGAGTGACAGAGCAAGACCCCAGACCCCATCTCAAAAAAAAAAAAGCTTCCCCATGGAAAAAATTACTATGTAACTGAGTACCCTCATTTTTTCTAAGAGATAGTTTATTCTCTCTCTTCTTTTCTCATTCCTCCTTTTCCGTACTTTCTACTTGCTCTTTAGAAGTGCCTTTGTTTTTGTTTTGTTTTTGAGACGAAGAGTCTTGCACTGTCACCCAGGCTGTAGTGGAGTCTCCAATCTCGGCTCACTGCAATCTCTACCTCCTGGGTTCAAGCAATTCTCCTGCCTCAGCCGCCCAAGTAGCTGGGACTACAGACACGCACCACCATGCCCAGCTAATTTTTTTGTATTTTTAGTAGCAACGGGGTTTCACCATGTTGGCCAGGATGGTCTCGATCTCCTGACCTCATGATCCACCGGCCTTGGCCTCCCAAAGTGCTGTGATTACAGGCATGAGCCACTGCACCTGGCCCTAGAAGTGCCTTTTAACCCTCTCTTCACTGGACACTATGTGCAGGGCAAGTTTATCTAACTATGTGCTTAGAAGCTCCAGAGCAGAACTCTTACTCCCTGGGAGATTTCCTCAAGAGATAACAGTCAATTTCCAGCCCAAAGAATGCCTGCTAGAGTTTTCAGCCACCTGTACAACCTATTTCTGCCCATGAAGGCACCTACTCAACTGCCCAGTAGATAATGCCTCCCAAAATGTTGGGATTACAGGCATGAGCCACTGCGCCTAGCCCTAGAAGTGCCTTTTAACCTCCTCTTCACTGGACACTCCCTGCAGGGCAAGTTTGTCTAACTATGTGCTTAGAAGCTCCAGAGTGGGACTCTCACCCCCTAGGGGATTTCTTCAAGGTATAACAATTTCCAACCCAAAGTGTGCCTGCTAGAGTTTTTGGCCATATGTACAGCCTATTTCTGCTCATGGAGGCACCAACTCAACTGCTCAATAGATAACGTCGCAAGCTAGCACTGGGACCCCTCACCTGCTTGCGTCCTCCCCTGCCTTTTAAAAGTGCCTGCTTTCTCCTCCAAAAAGAGAAGCGGTACCCTTCAGGCAGGAAGCCGATACCCTTCTCCATAAGTTAGCTTTGGAATAAAAAGTCACTTTCCTTACATCAGACCTTGCTCTTGTTAATTGGACACTGCAAGCTGTGAGTGACTGAATCTGCATTTCTGTGACAACTGCACTATACAGATGCCCCTGTGTAGAAATTTGCTTATTATTAACATGACCGAGAAGCAGAGGATATTTGAAAAATGCTTTCAGGAACACTGATGGATCTTTTTATACATACTAGACCCAAATCAGATAACCATAAGGACCAATTCATAAACAAAACAAATAATTAAATTTTACTGCTCAAGGGTTCTTAGTGATTTTCCCATTTAGTAATAGGAGCAGCTTAGATAGAACTAGTGACTAATTTTTTATTAGCTTAATAGCACTATTACCTCAGAACATTTGCATCAGAGATATATACTGAAATGTAAGAACTAAGAAGGTCATGTACCTGGGACACACTTGCTTAATTCAGAGGCATAAGTTCTATCACCGATCTCTTCTAATTGCCAGGTAGGATGGCCCTTAAAAATAAGTTCCAGCGCGGTGGCTCACACCTGTAATCCTAGCACTTTGGGAGGCTGAGGTGGGTGGATCACCTGAGGTCAGGAGTTCAAGACCAGCCTGGCCATCATGGTGAAACCCCATCCACCAGTTCTGATGTTCATCTTTTCTGTATGTGTGTGTAAACTGGAACTTCAATCAAGGCAGAGAGGAAACAGTTCAGGTAGGCATCTCCATGTAAATTATGAGCATCCAGAGATGGGGTGTGTATGTGTGTGTGTGTGTGTGTGTGTGTGTGTGTGTGCGCGCGTACGCGTGCATGTGTATGCTGCCATCATAGAGTAGGAATTTTCTTTTTTCCTTTCTCTTTTTTCTTGGCAGATAAATTATTGAATCTAATCTATAAAGCCAATTCATTATTTCTGTGCCTTAAAGCCACTTGTTAGTTTGCTATTGGCAAGTGTAAAAAGCTTATCAAGGCTCCAATCCACGTAATGGGGATTTAGGTTATTGTAGCCTCACTGTTCAATTGCCGGGTCAGTTTTAGGAGCAGGAGCTGAATTAGCATCTCTGCCTCAGGCACCAGGGATATCAATAGTCTTAATCTTAAAAATTTTGGTGGGGAGGGAATCCTTACCCAGGGACATCAATGATATCTCAATCCCATAACTTTAGGAGAGGGGAAGGCTTTCCCTTTGGGCCCCAGTACTGCAGACTTAAATACTGTTCCCTGTGCCTTTCTTTCTTTCTTCTTCTTCTTTTTTTTTTTTTTTTTTAATAGAGTGTTGCGCTGCTGCCAAGGCTGGAGTGCAGTAGCACAATCTAGGCTCACTGCAACCTCTGCCTCCCGAGTTCAAGTGATTATCCTGCCTCAGCCTCCTGAGTAGCTGGGATTACAGATATGCACCACCATGCCAGGCTGTTTTTTGTATTTTTAGTAGAGACGGGGTTTCACCATGTTGGCCAGATTGATCTCAAACTCCTGCTCACCTCAGCCTCTCAAAGTGCTGGGATTACAGGCGTGAGCCACTGCACCCAGTGACATTTTTCAGCATCCAGTCTCATGAACTGAATCTAGGCATTTCAAAATAATTTAGAACTTTATAATTTTAATTTTTCCTTAGGAAAACCCAGGTGTTGCCATAATGTTCCTCAGAGTCAAAGAAAATCAGTTGCATACTTACATGCTGAATATCTGCATTTCCAGGTCACTTATTACTTACCATAGCAGCAAAGACATAATGGTCATTATGGCAATATTCTGAGTTCTGAACAGGTCCATAATGAAAGCTTTTTGCTGCTTCAGGGTATTTAGCTCCTGTAACTAAAATAATGCAAATAACCATGAGATTAAGAGGTAGTAAGGAAGTATCTTTGGCTATGATGCATGGGGAAAACGTATGCATGCAACTCTCACTTCACCCTGACTATGCTTAGAAGTGTGGGAATTGGAGGCAATAGGGCATCTACATATATGACGCTTATTCTGACACTTTAAAATGTTTGTAGCCCATTTTAAACAGAAGCCTTTTAAATATATGACACCCCCTCCCCTGTCTCATTACACAAAGAATATTGGCTAACACAGCCTTTTTCTGATTGACAGTCATCACTATGGATGACCTTTACCACACTGATCTGTGATCCTCAGGAATGCCTATTGAAGGGTAGGGCCATGTAGTCCGTTCCTTGAGGCCACCTCTGCTTTTTACACTTCTCCATTTTGTTTGTTTGTTTGTTTTTTGAGATGGAGTCTTGCTCTGTCACCCAGGCTGTAGTGCAGTGGCACAATCTCAGCTCATTGCAACCTCTACCTCCCAGGTTCAAGTGATTCTCCTGCCTCAGCTTTCTGAGTAGCTGGGATTACAGGCAGGCACCACCACATCTGGCTAATTTTTTGTATTTTTAGTAGAGATGGGGTTTCACCATGTTGGCCAGGCTTGTCTCAAACTCCTGACCTCAGGTGATCCACCCACCTCAGCCTTCCAAAGTGCTGGGATTACAGGTCTTAGCCACCAGACCCAGCCTATTCTTTTACTTTTAATTTGCTGACAGTAATTTGACATGAGTTATGAATCAAGGTAACCAAGCTGAGTAGAATTGAAACTAACAAAAAAATTATTAGGCTCTAACTTCTCCCTAGAGGTGGGGAATCTCTAGGGGATGAAGTACCAGGACTTGGTGACTGTGGCCCTATGGCACATGCGCAGTAAGAGACTGATGGAGGAGTTTCTATTATGAAGAGGTGAGAGTGCCAGGCCTGCCTTGACAGCAGGTGCTCGCCTTCTTTCTAGGAATAATCAGACACTTATGGAGCTTACAGCCACATTGCCTTTTCTCTCCTGCACTATTTGAACT